TTCCCCTCTTTACCCTCGCACTCACAATGCATTACCCCTCTATCTCCATTTCTCGCTCCATATTCCATCCAGGGATGGAGAAGAAAAAAATAAAAAAAAAAAAAAAAAAAAAGGAAAAGAGAAGGAAAAAATCAGAGAAAAACGACACGTTCGAACGAAGGAGTGAAAAAAAGAGCATCGAATGGTTTTCTTACGGTTGGTCGAAAGAGTCCGCAGGGTGTGTAACAGATTGAGGCCGCGTGTGTGCAAGAACTAATCGAATAACGTAATGCAGTGCTTATGTTACTCGTTTTACGTGTTATATAATTTCCCTTGTGTTGCCTGGTTCATCGCTGATCAGTGTCCTCGGCCGCGGTCATCCCCTTTCCTTTTCGTGGCCATACGTCAAGCAACGAGAGAACGCCGGCGGAGAGAACAGAGAGAGAGAAGATGCGTTTTGCGACGCAGTCGCGGGACACGTGAACCACCGATGGGAAGGACAGCAGCGACAGCGAGAGACGATGATGGTGTCGAGAGCGAACGAACATATACGAGTATCAAGATAGAGAAAGACAGAAGTGCTTCAGGGCGGTGAAGGTTCAGAGAGAGAAAGAAAGAGACCGATAAAAGGAGTTGGAGAGAGAGAGGGGAAGAGGAAGGTGTATGTATATATATACTGCACACGTCTCAGTCTCTGTCTCTCTCTCTGTCTTCCTTTTCGTCGCGCACCAAACCGATCGGCGATGTGTAGCCGCGTGCGCCACCACGATGGCCGATCGAAAAAAAAAGGCAATTAAGATGTCAATGGCAAAAGTGACGACGACAGCGACGACGACGACGACGACGACAGCGACAACAACAACAACGACAACAACAACGACAACGACAACAACAACGATGACGACGAGGACGGGAAAGAAAACGTGGCCTCTCGAACCTACGTCGGCGACGCTTAACGTCGGGGCTGCTCTGGGCGTCGCGGCGCTCACACATCGGCTCACTGAGCTCGAGGTAGGCGACACCGTCGAAACCGAGGATCGCGGTTGCGGCCGACAAGGACCGAAAGAGCAAGCCGAGCTTTCCAGACGTTGTTGCGCACGCGCTTTTCCACAGTACGTCACTGTTCAATCAATTTTTAGCTATTGAAATTTCCGTTGGATTTCGAATCGATTGCTCTTCCTTTGCCGAGCAAGCCTCGTTTCCCATTTTCCCTCCGAAGAATCATCAACGTTTAGCACGTTTAACTTAAAGGCAAGGAATTAGTCGAAGTGTGCGATTTGCGACACACTAACTCAAAGAGTATACCAAAAAAAGACTTTGATCGTCGATTTGATCTTGATTTTTTTTCCCCTTAATCTCTCAGTAGGAGAATTGTTTAGTCTATGTATCGTTTCCCGAATTACGCTTTTCGAAAATGTATTACTGAACCGAGGAAACCGAGTCAGTAATTACCTAGTAGGGAAGTTATGAAAATATTGAAACAAGAAGTGGTAGTCAGAAGGGGTGCGATGTCAGGGAACTTCCATAGCCTACACCGTCTCTTTTCATAATTTCCTTCAAATAAGACCGTAGTTGATCTCCTCCACTTCATTAAGCGCTATTTCGCCACTGCAATTAAATTCTTAATAACGGAGGAACATTCATAAAAACCATTTAGTCGAAGGTATAAAAAAATGATCATGTACGTGCATATTTACAAGCAGCCGTATGTTGCAATCACTTAATTGCTCGATTCTGATTGGGCTGTTCCGCGGGGGAGGGATGACGGTGTTCTTGGTTCATGATTTGTGCGCTACGTGTTGGTCGCCCTCCATTGGCTGGGTTACCTGAAAGGCCGACGAATCAGATATTCATATCTAAACCCTCGGTCGCTTTTAACCCTCGGACGTACGCCAACTATCGAAATTCGGCCGTTTAGAATCGTTGGTAACAAAAGTAATTATAGACATCATCGGCACCTATCAGTGAAAAACAACCGAAGGGGTGAATGTACGAGACGATTCCGGTATTGGGTGTGCATTTTTTTCAGCGTAAAACAATAGATGTGAGCTTGGTAACAGTGGGGTGTAAGAGACGCGCTCTCGTGGTGAATGCACCAAATACCAGTGTCAACATGGCCGTTACCGAATTTCCGGGAGCGCAGTATGTGGAGAGACGCGAACGCGTTAGTTCAGTCTGTCTCTACGCTCCGGTGGGAAGTAACATTTATACGAAATATTAACACACTTATTGAAAAGAATCAACAAAATGAATTGTGTTGTGGAAGAGCGAATAAACAGCACGCAAAGCGAAAGCGATCTGACGAAAGGTACGTGGCTACCATGTTCATTAAACAGTGTTTTTCAAACAGTTGTTTACGAATATTTAGTGGCAGAAACACGCTAGCCCTTCGCACGCAGCCTCCTCGACGCGCATTCGATCGATTTGCCGCTACAATTTATTGGCATTACCATTCAATAAATGCAAACCGAATCGCTAGAAATGCAAATGAGAGTTTCGAATGGACGGTATCGTGTCTTTTGGCTACAGTTCCGAAAGTTTTCTGTGAGAAATCAATTTTGTCTCGAATGGACGGAAATCGGTATATCGCAACGTCGGGATTAATCGTTCGATTACTTTTTCTCATTGAACTCGTTTTCAAACTTGCTTGTTCAATATACTTTTTCAAATTGAATTTGCTTTCTCACCTACGTGAACATGTATTGCTCGGTAAAACTGTATAATTGTCACAGACACGTATACAAGTTACTTTTAAATAATTCTTAC